GGGTGGTTAGCTTCTTCCTAGGTTGACGTGGCATGATGTAGGTGATATCTTGTAGAATTTGAATTTGGATTGATCATCTAGGCTCTATATTCTCAGCAACCCTTAGTGCAAGAAAATGACACGCACGTACAACTAAACAGTTCCTATGCTCCTCGCTTTTGCTCGATACCGAAAAGATATGGCTGACCACCGAAGAAACAAAACGCCATTTTTCCATGCACATGCAACTCCATCACCACTTATGTCAACACATCTACTCCTCGTCGACAACACGGCCCCACTCGTGTCCCTCCATACCGTCGCTACCCCACATGATGCCCTTGAGGGAGTTCTTGAAGTAGCTCGCGTACGCGCCAGAGTCGCCCTTGACCATGGGGACCTCGATATCCTTTCCTCGGAAGTGGATCTGGCTGATAGGAGCGACGAACCACGCAGTACCAGCCGCGAAAGCTTCGACAAGACGCCCTTCCTTGGCCGCCTCCTCAATTTCAAAGACGTTGAACTTGCGCTCAACAACCTCGAGAGTCTCCAAGTCGGCTGAAGGGGAGGAAGAAGTGAGTCTTGAGCGGGCGAGTTCTAGGATAGACCTCCTTGTGACACCGTCCAAGACAATACGCTCGTTGAGGTCAGCAGTGACAAGCTGTAGCTTTCCTTCCTTGGTCTTCCACACGACGAAGAAGTTGCTCGCGCCTGCCTCGGTGATGGTGCAGTCGTCGCCGAAGAGCCAGAGGATCTGGTGGTATCCCCGCTTTCTCGCTTCGCCTTGGGCAACCAGCGAGGGACCATAGTTGGCACCAACTTTGGCGTAGCCGAAACCGCCGGGCCATGCGCGGCACATGTCGTCTTGGGAGGCGAGCAACTTGATACCACCGCTCATGTCGCCCATGGGTGCGAAGCAGCATAGGATGACGAACAGAAGAGCCTCTTTCGGTCGCTCAACACCGAGAGCGGGGTCGGAAGCAATCATGGTGGGACGAATGTAGAGGAACTGTCCTGGTCGGTCCTTGGGGAGCCATTTGGCACCATCGGTGGCACAAAGCTTGACAATGAGCTTGAGGAGCTCCTCAGGGTCGAATGCGGGGAGAGCGATACGGTTCGTGGACATGAGCATGCGGCGGCAGTTCAGGTCTGGGCGGAAAAGACGAAGTTTGCCGTCGTATCCGCGGTACAGCTTCATGCCCTCGAAACATTCGGTTGCGTAGTGCAGGCATGAGGCTGTGGGTGCGAGAGAAAGCGGGCCGTAGGGCTTGAGCTCAGGTGCTGCCCAGCCGGACTCGACAGTCCATTGAGCTTGCACCATGTGGTCGGTGCAGACCTTCTGGCTGGCCATCTCTGCTGAGCCTACAGCGGGAACGGAGCGCGGGGTGCTGGTGTATGTGCAAGAAACCTTGGAGGCATCGAGTTCAGCGAGAGGTGCGTCGACGACATCTTGGCTTTTGCTTGCGGGCTCGTTTGGTGGTGTGGCAGTGATGGAGTTTGTGAGCGACGCAGAGTCGATTTGTGCTGGGGCGTTCTTGAGAAGCGCAGATTTGATGCCGTCTTGGGTGAGTTCGGTAACAGTCTCGATATGGTTCGGGGGTGTGACGGCGCTGGGTGCCATGATTGCTGTGTGTAAGATCGGGTAGTCGTTAAGCTATCAATTGAGATAGCAACGGGTGGACAAAGAATTTACGTTTGCTTCTGTGTGGTAGCGAAGTAAGTAGTCCAATGTGGAATGAGAAGACGGGTACCCCGACGTGCTCTTATACAAAGGCCTTGAAAAAATTCGGTCAAGAGTCACACGCGTCCCTATCACACGCGCGGGAGCAAACCCACCTACCCGAACGATCCATCGATGTAATGTCTGCCCAGCCGCCTGCGGATTACGGCGGCGGTCTAGTGTGTTCCCTTCAAGAATGCAAAGATAAAGGGTTCCACTTGCAGCCGATTTAGACCCTCTCTCCAGAGAAACCAGTCTGGAGACTGATTGCGCCCGTTTGCCTCTTCCTTCTATGACATCAAACGTCTTTCTCGTTGGTTGGACATCACACAAGCAATTTGCCGTCGAAGAGAACGCCGAAAGACGCGTCTTCCAGAAGCCGTCGAAACCGGGGTCGTGACGTTAGCGTACCTGAGGACTAAGGATGCGCATGGCGGGCGTAGGGCGTGTGTGCCGAGCCTGCGGTATCCTTGTACCTACCGCTAGTATCCGCGACCAGTTCGCGCGTCCGATCCCCGGACATGGAGATTGGGGATTGTATAACATAGCGGTGCAATATCGGGCCTGTTCAAATGTCGGGGTAGTACGAGTGATGATGCGTAGTATCTGCGATGTCGGACTGAACTTCCAGAAGCATGAAGTTGGAGTCTTGTGGGAGAGGGCGAAGTAGCTCGGTAATCAGCGGTACAAGCGATGGGGAACTTCACCGCAGGGAAAAAATGCTCAAGTGACCTTTTCAAAACAACAGGGTATCATATTCTACGACGGCCATGCCGATTGCAGTCTTTTCAATGGCGCTATCTACCGAAGTCCCGTCACGATGCCTGCACGTACTTCTGTATGTCCGTACATAGCCCGCCACCACCTCTATCCGTCGCAAAGTGAACTTCACGATGCCGGAGATGACGACGGATCGCTGACCTGACTCGCCGCCAATGTCTGGCTTGCCCTCAAGCTATCGATGCCCTTCATGATGCCATCCGCAACCTCGCCAACTCGTCCTTCAAGCGTGCTGAAGTCCATCCTGCTAATTGCAGCATTGATTTGTTCCGTTACAAGTTCGTCCTGCACGACTTCCGCTGTAACCTTGCCCTCCGTTCTCCAGTATTCCTCGCGCACGCCTCGCAACGCTGGATCGCGGTTCACCGAGTTTGTGAGTAGAGCAAGCGCGCGCATCTTGTTGAAGGTGTCTTCGGACGTTCGTGTGGTTGCTTCGATGCGTTCGGCGATGGAAACAGGCTTGGCGAGCCAGCGGTTCGTGCTTGTAGCCCAGAGGACAAATGCGAAAGCCATGTCTACCACTGCGAAGGTGACGTAGCGTAGAAAGCGGACACGCCAGTAGGCCGAATCGATATCTTGCACGTACTGTGCGCGCTTGTTGAGCGTAATATCGTACGTGCCCATGTACCACACTTCCACCACCATCATGAGCAGTCCCACAATCGTTGCGTGTGTGCGGAACCGCGAGCCTTCACTTCCCACAAGCGATGACGTCGCGAGACCAAGAACCCCTAATTGAAATATGTGCGATGTGACGATCTTGGGGAGCGAGTACAAGAAGTGGTTTTGCTGGTCGTTTCCGTTGGCTGTGGTGCACCAGACACAGTTCAACAGCGTGTCCGGGCCATATGCCAGGTACAGCAGTTTGTTGCGCACGCTCGAGGTGAACTTTGTCCGTAAGGCATCGTCCTCATCTGTAAGCGGCCGGAGGTGCCGTAGCCGCGCGAACAGTACACTCGTCTCGGTCCGTATGTGGCTCTGTGTCTTGAGGAATATGTTGTCCGGTGCGAAGCGCGACAAGGAGAGGATGAGGCACGCGACAGCGCTCGCGAAGAGCAAGTTCAGCGCCTGCTGGACTCTCGGGGGCGTCGGCCGTATTGGTACGCTTCGTCCGGTCGCGCGCGCGAGGTTGATCCAGTCGAGGACGCGGGGTATGAGGAAGGGCCCGAAGATGATGAGGATGGAGTGGACATTCTGGGGGAGAAACGTCAGGCGCGGGATGACGACGTAGGACACGACCAGCAGCACAATCGAGCGCACGTTGAACATTGTGGGTGTCGCGTTATCATGGGCGAGTCGGCGAGGGCTGTGGTGTCGCTGAGGACATGTGTCCTCGCATTCGACCAAACGTGTGGGTGACGTGTGAGCGTCGGCGGAACTGAAGCGCGATCACACGTGTTAACGCGCTAGTATTGAATCCCCAACTTCCACACGACTGTCAGACCTCAACACTCACTCGATCCAGAATTGTACAGCTTCATATTTGATTCTCCGCAGAATTTCCCTAGTAATCCAATCTGCCGTCACGCTTATATGCAAGTTCCATCAAAGACTGACAGCTTGACGACCTTCACAACATGTCCGTTGTGGTGGCTTGGGTGACTTTGAGGGATACATTACAGGCAAAATTTCTGTCTTTCTATTTTCTTCGCTATTGCATTACCTGTATCTATCGTAGTAGCCATATATCGCTGAAAATGACTGATCGCCTCCCAAACACTCAGAACCAGGCTACTAGCATAGACCTGCTCTCCATCGAAGATATGCCGGTAGCTCGCGAAAACGACATCCCAGACATCTGGCCCATCGAGTGGGAAAAGACTAAGCTCGATTCCGCACTCGCACTTTTCCACTTAGCACAGTGCGACAAGGCTCTCGATGTGAGAGCATGGGACGACCTTGTAGTGAATTGGACAAGCGAAGATATGGCGGCCGTCGAAGCGGTCTTTCCAAGGAGGACATGGCCCGAGATGCTACCGTATCCAAATCTAGTTGCGTATGCACGATACGTTAACGGATATTAGACTTCTCCGTGGAGGAGTTGGCTCCGGATCCCGTATGTTCTAGCTGTAGCCTGGCAGAAGGGACTTGTAGCAGGTTTGTTGAAGAAATCAAATTACCACTCCTGAGAGATGATAGCTATGCACCGGGATTCGAATATGTTACTTCCACATACTCGTAAATAGCTCACAAATGTATCCATCTCACATATGTCCCTCCTCAACAAATCTTCCCTGTATGGGTCTCCTGTTGTCTCTCCCGGGGGATCCATGTGTTGGTGACTGAGCATAGAAATGCGCTGGAGTGTGCGTAGTGCTGATGTTGCGGGGTTGTTCTTCGCCACTATGTTGAGTCCCTGTCGGACTTCCTTGGTTGTCGGGGAACAAAGGTGGAGAGTATTGCGCACGCGTCGATGGATCGCTGGGTCGTGGGTAGTAAATTGGAACCTGCTGTTGAGGAGCATCACTCGGAGACTGTCGTGCTGTGTTTGGAGTAGGATACGAATGTTGACCGTCTTGGCTCAGTGCAGAATGAGGATGTTGAACCTGGGTGCTCCAAGGACCTGGCGGAGAGTTGCGAACTTCGTCGGTAAAGAATTGCTCTCGAGGTGGTGACCGACCCGTGTGCCCGCCTTCAACAGGAGATATGTATGGGGGAGCGTGACCGTACGAAGGAGGGCCTTGAGCCGAGTAGGGCGAGTTGTATTCGTGGCTAGCGGAGTGTGAGTGTTGTTGATCATGACCAGGATAATGAGCTAGGGCGATAGAACCTGCCTGGTCGTGCATGGAAACGTACTTGCTAGCATCTGTGTCGGCCATCTCATGGGGAACCGTGGTGGCAAGTTCAGCAGGTGGGAGACTAGATGGAGTCTCGGCCTCTTTCTTCTTCAAAGACTTCTTTCGCCGGTGTAAGCAGAAGAGTATAAGACACAGAAGGACAATTAGTGCCACCAGTCCTCCAACTGTGCCGCCAGCGATGGCTGCTACGTTTGACTTCTTTGAGCTTCCACCAGATGCTGACTCTGTAGCTGAGGGAAGAGAGCGAGTTGCCGATCTTGCTGTGAAAGTAGGTTTGAGTGTATAGTAAGTAGCGAGATCTGGATGGCCCCAGGTTGCTGGCGAAGTCTTTGTAGCACCTCCGGTAGGCCTGTTCTTATTAGCTGTGACAACTTTGATATGGATCGTAAAGACGTACCCGCCTCCAACTGCGGCAATAATAGGTGAAGGTACTACGTAGTCGTCTAGCTGAGGGCTAAACTTGTCCCAAAGCTTCGAGTCCCCACCGTTGTATCCTAGAACCATGTTGTGTTGTCCTTGTCCCTCGGGTGCATCGCATTTGTCGTAGAGGGGAAACCAGCCGCCTATGACTAACATCTGCGCATGGTTGACGACGTTTGCGCTACAACCGCCGTGACCAACTTCAGAGGGAACATCATCACTGCTGAAGACTTTGATCCATATGAATGATGGAAGCGATAGGATGTAGACGTCGTCGTACGCTGCTGCTTTTTCGAAGCCGTATCCACCATATAGGTATCTGTTGCGCGTCAGCATAACTTGATCAACACAGCACACTTTGTATACCAAGTCTACAGACGATACTGCAACATTGGCAGCGTAGCGTATCCCAGCGACTTCTTAGATTCTGAACAATCTTGGGGAATCTTGGGCTCTGATGATCTTTCTTTTGTTTGTACATCGACGATCTCCAGAGCCGGCTTCAGATGTTCTACAGCTGTACGACCAGAAAGATTTTCTTACATGTTGAAAGACGACTGGTCATCGGGCCAGGTGACATCAGCACAGAATTGCCTTCGGGTGTCGGGTATATCGCCGGAAGCAGTCTGTGTATACCATTTCGATGAAGCCATGTCGTAGACATGTATGGTCTAGATGGATTAGCTGTGCCAGACATAACACCTCTCTCGATGACATACACTCATGTTTGCCTGATACGACTAGTTAGCACGGAGACTTAGCTGGGATTCCATCTGCACCTACTGCGTCAAAGCTACCGTTGCGGTACGAGTCTTCGATGCCACCGAAATAAACAAGCACGCCGCTATCTGAGACAGGTAGAAATACCAGTTGTCCTTCAGCTCTCCCAATATCGTCTGGACCGGTTGTATTCTGTAAGTCGCCGGTAGACATATCAAATCGCATCAGACCGGTCGTAGCCATTGGGGGTCCAGTCCAACCGGGTGTTGTCTTGTTGCTGAGCCAGCCACCAAAGTAGAATCCCAGCCCACGACTTTCGACTTGCGTTCCTGCGCCATACGATACTCGTTGCGGGTTCTTTTCGCCAATTGTTTCAGTAGTATTCCATTGGTTGAGGAGAGCATCGTAGGTCCACATGCTGAAATCCATGGGACTTGTGCCTGGGGCAAATTCTCCGCCGAATTGATAGAAGCATTTGTTCGTTTCATCTGCCCAAGTATAGCCGCCTGAAACGGTAGGTATATGACCGGGCTTTGAGTACGCGGACTGCATTGGCATTCCCGCATCGACGGTCGAAGTGTTCAAATCACTGAACAAAAGCCAATCATCTAGGGGTCGATAGTTAGACAGCTGAGACAGAATCTAGAAGTATTCCAAGCTTTACTTACTTGAGTAGTTTGACCTGAAGGGGACTTGTCCTATCATGCCGCCATCGATGTAAAGCCTTGAGTCGACCTGCGCCGTTGAGTGGCCCCATCTTCGACAGAATCCTTTGACGGGATCATCCTGCTGTGATGACGACTGGGTGATTAGGCTAAGTAGAACAAGCACGCCTGGAAGATTGAAGGCCATGATATGCATTCATGACGTTCCTGAACATGCACACGTGAGACGCAGGAAATGCGAGAAGTCTGTATTTCAAAGCAATGACAGCTGTAGGATGCCGTAGAAAGAGGGGCGGGCCGCAGACGTTAGAGTGGAGATGTGTAGGCCTGTGATTGTGCTTCACAGAAGGCACCAGGAGCGTGTAGGTGGAAGGTCCGCGATTGTCGTTCGTGGCGCACTTCGTTGGGATGCAATCCGGTTTACCGATCTGACTGCATCGTAATATTGCTAGGCGACCTTCTTCTCAGCCATACAAGCAGCGGTGGGACGCAGGTCGCCAATGAAGTCACAGCATAGGAAACACGAGTGATCTGCAGGCCCGACAGAGGCGTCTGACCGAAGGAAGACATAGGTCTGGGTTAGAGTCAGCGAAAATGCGGCGCCGACCTGCCAAGTGTGCCCTGCTGGGACGAATACCGCGTGTGGCATGGACGACCGAATCAAAGCAACAGGTTAAGAAAATGCCGTTATTGGAACCAGTGGTCTGGCGTCGTACTCAGGCTGAATCCGAAGCCGCTTCTCAGCCGCTCTCTTGTCCGCCAATGCAAAGCTGCGTATCTCGCTTCTTGTGGAGTGACACAGGGTGGAGGCGCGGGGAGTCTTTCAGCTGGGTGTTCCAGCATTACTCGTAGCCATTGACCCCAACAGTCTAGATCCGCACGACAACGAACTTCAGCAGCAAGCCAATCACCACGAAAGGTTGGTTCCTTTTCCAGCTCCGTGCAGCTTATGGTTACCAGTAGGTGGGGGCGGACCTAGATACCGGTGACGGGGCAACGCATATAGCCCCCAGCGCCACGCATAATCATCATCGGGGAATTATCTCCGCCATGAAGTCTACATCTCTTCATCACGGCGGCGTCGACATCAGGGTCATAAGGTCCCTAAGATTGGTGCGCATCGAAGTATGTTGGCCTAAAGCGAACCCGCAACTCCAATACCGACCGAAGTCGACGTGGACGAGTTGCAGGATTAGAACGGCTGTGCATTTCTTCTGGGTCTGCTCTGGAAAAGGCAAATCCATTCGTAAAGGAAGGACCTTAGGGTTATTGGAGACCGTTGACAATATGTGAAGAAAAGAAGAGCAGGAGCTTCGCGGAGAAAATTGAATGGCAAAGATAATTTGCTTGGCGCGCTAGCGGCTTATTTAGCTCGCAATTCCCGTCCGTCTTCGCGTCATGACCTCGGGCGGGTTTGGCCAACAACACAACTCATCATCATTATGTACACTCCGCGGGAGATACTTCATATCACATCTTGATTTGTACAAAGGGCCATCATGTTCCAGTATCTTCTTAGAGTATTGCGTGTCTTGCTCGCGTCAACCAAGGTTCCCGAGGTCTCCATGCACCCCAAGAAAAATCACTAGTCGAACCATAATACCAATGATGCAAGTGAACAGATAATAATCGATAGCATGTATAAATGCTTTCCGATGTCGCAAGGGTACTTTTGTCTTTCCTTAAGAATCGTTCAGTATGTCTTTCTACACAGATCCTCAGCCAGGTCAGTTCTTCGCAGGTCGACATCAATCCAGCTTCCACATGCAATCGGCCCAGGAAGGCGCGAGTCATCACGCCATGATGTTCGGATCTTCTAATCAGCAAGTCCGGAGATCTTCCCGAGATGATACGACGGTGCTGCCCTTATGTTGCGCCCCTAAAGCACCCTCAATCAACACCTTCATGCCACGACCAGGACCCTACGGTACACCATGGTTTTCGTCTGAAGAGACCCTATGGTCACTGGGGCTAATCGAGCATGGTAGATTCAACAAGCCTGATACAGTCCTCTTGGCCTTTATCGTGGACTGCGCGATGAAGCTGTACATATGCGCCAGCATCACCCTGGACTGTCTAGAAAGCTTGACGGATTCGGAACTGGTGCACGCTATCATTGAAGCAGCATACAGCAATGTACTCGGACAGATACAGCGCGCTGACTTGATGAGCCGCCAAGCGCTCGCTTTCGGGAGATTTTACCTGAAGGCCATGGCAGACTTTGGAAAAATCCGGGAACGCTGCAACATCACGCTTGGGCAATATATCCAACATCAACAGACTCGGAACGATTTCGCAGCGAGATTCCTCATTTACGATAGTTATGGGGATGACGATCTTGGAATAATTGAAAATGCTTTCAAGTGGGTGTACGGACAATCGCCCTCCGCAGTCGTCAACTACATGGAAGAGAACATTATAGAGGACTCGTCTGGTCGCGATCCTATCTCGATACGACAGTGGGTCTTCGGATTCAACTGAGAATCCTCGGTAACGCGATTGAGGCCTCGTTCATACAAACCCTAGCCTTTCATCGACGAAGGGCTACGGTTGGAATTCGGTATGTTGTTGGTAATCGTCTGGTAATTAACCATGAGCAGCTCTTTTATTGACATTTGAAGGGGGGGAGTTGATATGGCAGATGGTATGTTAAGACATGGGACGAAGTTTGCACAGAACTGGGATGGTGATCAGGTGAGAAGAGAAGGAATGGGTATCCTACAAAAGTCATTTGCGCAAAAAGAAAGAAGAGGCGTATCAAGAATCGAGAAGAACAATGCAAAAGCTTATTTGATTCTATTCGTTTGACAATTAAATTATTAAGAAACGCCTTCCCACAATGCTTAGAATTGGTCCAGTCCCAGCCCACAGAAGCCAATATGGCGCCTCCGACTTTGATTGCCCATTGTGACCCACGCCAACCTAAGAAAAACTTGAACAGCCTGGAGCCTACATTGGCGCTGGGTCACCGCCTTTGCAAGGCCTTGGCTTAATGTAGCCTGCAGACCTGTTTAGTTTTTTTCTTGTATGAGGTGGACCCATTGTGCTACGACTGTCCTTTGCCCACCGTCTACTTTCAATGCAAGTTTTCAAGTGCCGGTATACAGTTTTGGCCATTTGCCCAAATAACAAAATCCCTGTTCTGTCTACCCTGACTGCATGGCTTTGGTCAAGGCCAAACGCTTGCTGTATGGGCTCAGGCTGCGCTCTCTTTGTGAGGGCGGGGGTGCTTGCGCTGGCGGCGGCGCAACTCTGCTGTTCGCGACGGTTGCCCGATCGTCGAAACGGTTTCTTGCCGGTCCACGCGGACTGTCACGGGCCCGTCCTCCATTTCTTGCCTCGTGTGGGCTACGCGATCGGCGTACGGGCTTGCGCTTGGAGTAGGGACTCGGGCTGCGATCGCGACTGCTATGATATGGCGAGAGTGACCTGGAAGGCTCACGATGTACTGAATGCGAGACGCTTGGCTGGCCTCTTGGGGCTCCGTTTGGTGGGTTGCGCTCGTCTGACGTATCCATGGGATCCGCGCTCCCCGACCGCGATCTTGAGACTGACCGTCGAGCTGGTCGCCGCCTGTCTCTTCTTGCACTCCTGCTCCGCGACCTGTTGTTATCACTCATGCTTCGCGGCGCTCTTCCCCTGGCATTCTCATGTGATATCTGCATGCGCGCTGACCTGGATCTTGACTTGGATCTGGTTCTTCGGCGGCCTCGCTCACCAGGACTGAAGGAGCTCATGCGCCGCCGTGTGTTCCTGTCTGCAGTGTCGGATGCGCGTGAGGAGCGCGAGTCCATAGAGACCGAGCGCCTGCTACGCTTCCGCAGCGCTTTGTCGTGGTCCCCGTGATGTCTTCGTCCGTTGTGCTTGTGTCGTGGGGGAGATCGCGAGCGGGAACGGGAGCGGTTGGTCGAGATGGTGGAGACAGAGTCGGCAGACGACGTAGAGAGTGAGCGCGCGCGCTTGCGATCCTCTTCCTTCTTCTTCAAAATATCATCGGCGACGCCCTTCTTGCGCAGCAGGTCCTCGGGTACCTCGGTGGTGAGTTTAGGCTGCAGTTTGGGGTTGAGTAGTTGCTGTGTCCTAGAAGGTCGAGACTTGTACGGGCGTTCCTGCGCGGGCGCCTTGCACTCGTAGCTGTAGTGTCCTCTCTTCAAGCACTTCTGGCAGAGAGTATCTGCGGAAGCCTTGGAGCGGCCTGCACCCGGGCGGCGGAACATGGCGGACTTGGATGCGGTACACGTCGAATCCAAGGGGTGTTTTTGTTGGCCAAGTCCTTTGGTATTGCTGGTGGGAATGGAGGGAAAGGAGCACGACGCGACTCTTGCGTCAGAGCAGCAGCCGGTAAAGACGCAATCAAGCCTCGCCAAGTTCAATCTTCTTCTGTCACTTTCGGCGAGGAAACGCGACGGGCCTTGGTCGCATGCGGTAAGGCGCAGCTTCAGCTTGGCCGGAGAATTGGGCGGAGCGGCATGACTAAGCCCGCCCACGGGCGGCTTCCATCATCGCTTCTCTATCCTTCACTCGCCTTGCGCTGCACCCCGCATACCAGCCCGGTCCCCGCCCGCCCTGTACTGCTCCCCGTCGACGACCCAATTCACCCGTCGTCTCTTGTCTCGCGCCCTACACCTGGGTGCTTGGCAGCTTCTTACACGCTAGACGTCCAAACTACGTCGTTGCAGGCCTGTCGTCAAGGCTACTTCACCTTGGCTCCCAGCAAACCCATACACCTCTACACTTTTCCCACGAATGTCGGCACACCAACATGTCCAGCTTTCTGGCTCCGGTTATCGCGACTTTCCTTGAGCACCCTATTTCCTGAAAAAAATTACGTCCATCACTTCGGTTAACACCACCTTCATTCTCGTCCACGACGACCCACGTACGGCGCTGAGCTTGGTGATTTTTTCGGCTACACCAGCAGGCGTCTGTCGCTTCATTCAGCAGCCTTACTGCTACGAGACTGCCTGAAAGCCCGTTTCGCCGTCCCCGCGTTTGGGCACCTACCGCGCACTGCGCATAGGCCATCTACGTCGCAACCTA